TTGATAGCTGATCGAACAGCTTTGAGCGCCACACGAAGAGCGTCGTCTGCTCGTGGCATGCCGGATTTCCGCATATGTTGCTTCAATGTCCGGTGGAGACGCTCAACAGGGTTCTGACGTGGTGTGTAAGGCACAGTGCGTTCGTGGCTGATGCCCCACGATTCAAGCTGGTTGCGGAACTCGTCGCTGCAGAACTGTGCACCGTTGTCGGAGATGACGTGCCGTGGCATGCCGAACAGCGTGAAGATCTGCTCCAGCGCCTTGATGATGTCCCTGGTCTTCTCAGCTGGTAAGCGGACAACTGCTGGATACCGACTGTACAAGTCCAGAAGGCTGAAGAAGGCGCTTTGCTGGTAATAAAACACATCAATAGCGACGGTGTGCCAGGCATGTGGAGGTAGGTCGCGTGGTTTCAGCGGTACTGGTCGTATAGCTGCTTCTGTCGCACATGGTGTACAGCTGGCTAGGAAATGTCGAGTTGCCGTGTTCCAACCGGGCCACCACACAGTCTCCTTGAGTTGAGCCAGTGTCCTGTCTCGACCAAGGTGTCCCTCGTGAGCCAGGTTCAGTACGTGTTGAGCTGCCGATGCTGGAATCACCACTCTTTCCCCTCTCAGAATGAGAAAGTCCGATGAGTTCGGAAAGGGCCACACGCTGAGTTCCGGACTAAGGGCTTGGTACGGTGCGAGCTCTGTCGCCGACGGCCATTTACCCGATCGCAGCGCATCTCGCACTGAGCACAGAGTGGAGTCACGCGCTGTTTCTCTGGCAATCAACTGGCGATGTGCTGAAACACCGTCTGCCACGGTGACAGCATGGACGAGAAGGAAACTCGGGTCAGCATCTTCAGCCGGCAGCCTGGACAATGCGTCAGCAATGTGATTCAACTTGCCGGGGCGATATTGCACGGTTAGGGTCAAGTCTTGCACTTTCAACACCAGGCGCTGTACTCGGAGACTAGCTGAGGCTAGCTTGTACGACGGCATAAATACGTGAACCAGTGGCTTGTGGTCAGTGATAATGGTCACAGGCATGCCGGTGATGAAGCTGCGGAAACGATTAGAGCCCCACGCGACCGCCAGTGCCTCTCGCTCGATGGTTGCATAGCGTGACTCTGCATCTGACAACTTTCTGCCTGCGTAATAGACAGGTCGCCACTCTTGACCATCTGTTTGCGACTGCTGTAGGAGTACTGCTCCAAGGCCATGGCCAGACGCGTCAACTTCGATGCGGGTCGGCAGCGTTGGGTCAAATAGCGCCAGAATAGGTGCGCAGATTGAGTTAGGTGCACTAGTAATCAGACTGCGTATCTTCTCAGCTGCGGTGTGGCAAGCCGATGTCCAATTCCACTCGCCAGACAATAGTGCTGTCATCGGAGCGACAACCGAGGCAATGTTAGGAATAAACTTTGCCACGTAGGTTGCTAAGCCCAGAAATGCTCGGAGTTCGGCCACATTGGTGGGATCCGACATCTGACTGAGTGACTGAACCTTCGATGGACCTGGCGAAATGCCCTTCGCCGAGACGTGATGTCCCAGAAACTCCAGCTCTGAGACCTGGAAGACGCACTTCTTGTCATTCAGGGTGACATTGAGGACTGCTGCCTTGCGTCGATCATGCTCTTCCAATGATGGAGCATAAATCAGAATGTCGTCTAGGTAGATGACTACCCCTTCACATCCTGCCAGAATTTGCTCCATCTTACGTTGAAATAATTCAGGGCCGCTGGACACGCCGAACGGTAGACGACAGAAACGGAAGTACCCCAAGGGTGAGGCGACCACGAAGGCGTGGCGACATTCAGGTGAGATCTCGAGCTGAGAATACCCGGACTTCAGGTCAAGCTTCGAGAACATCTGTGCGCCTGACAGTTGAGATAGAAGCTCATCAGCTGTTGGGAGTTGCACACCCGGTCGCCTTACCGCTGCGTTGACTTGTCGTAAATCTACGCACCAGCGCATAGTTTTGTCGGGTTTCGGTGTGGCTACCAGTGGCGAAACAAAGTCCTGAGCCGTTACTTCCTCCACCATCTCGACCACTCCTTGTTCTAGCCATGCATCTAGTTGTTGGCGTAGCGAGGTGAGCAGTGCCGGTGCTACCCGTCGAGATGACTGTTGTGACGGAGGGTGATCCGGATCGAGAGCGATTGTAATCGGGCCGCGCATAGCAGGGAGTGACGCTAGGCCCTCGGCACAGGCTGGGATTTCAACTGCTGAAATCGGCAATGCCAGAAGACCTAAACGGATGGAGGCCTGCTCTCCCAGTAATGCTGGCACAGTGCATTGTGCGTCATCGACTACAAAGATAGTCTCAGTCGTTTCGCGGCCCTGTTAGCTCAGGTTACCCTCAAACACGCCCACAGCTGTTATGCGTTGCGTCCCCACTGGCTGGAGTGGGCATGGCGGCGGTAACAGGACGTACCCCGATGGGAGTAATGACTTAGGGATGATGGAAACCATGCTGGCAGAGTCCACTCTTAGCGACAAGGTGTGTCGGCAGTCCAATGTTACCTGCCTCAGAGGTAGAGTGAAACCGGTCTTCCCTGCCTGTACCCCGAATGTTTCATAGGCCTCTGGTGGCTGGGCGGACTGTACGGCTGGTGATGCTGCAGCAGTTCGGAGTGACGAAACGGCTGGTGCTGATCGGTTGTGTTGCCTGGATGACGTGCTCTGCGACTGGGTCTGGGCACTGCGGTCCACTCGACCAGATGGCACGGCACACCGATGCAAAATGTCCCTTACGTCCACACTGGGCACAGAACATACGCGCTGCTGGGCAGTTCGGCTTGCCTGGAGCGTGCGTCTCTCCACAATACCCACAGCCTGATGCTGGCAATGGTGCATGTCCAGGTTGACGCGTAGCTGCATAGCTGACCTCTGGCACTGGTGCTTCTTTGGCACCCTCTTCAGCTAATACCACTGCCTGCGCCTTGGCTGCGGCGGAGCTCAAGTCCTGCGCATCGTGCTCCAAGACACTCTTTCGGGCACTGGCAGAGCTGAGCCCCCGTGCAAACAGGTGGACTCCCACAACTCCCAGTAGTTCCTCGGCAGTACGAGTGCTGGTCAGGTTGCAAACCCTCATGTCTTTTTGCACCCGCAGCCGAAAGGCCTGTATGGTCTCCCCAGGACGTTGCTCGACTGCAAACAATTCCGCCAAACGGGACGCTGCGCTCTGTTTCGAGCCGAAATATTCTTGGAACAATTTGATAAGATCGTTGTAGGGATTAGTTGCCGTAGTTGGCACTGTCGGGTAGCTCTGCCATAAGTAGTGACTTGCTGACTCGCCTAAATTGGCAGCTGCTGCCAAATACTGCTTCGCCTGATCCTTCACTTCGTGGAGTGCAAAGCCAATCTCCAACTGACTACGCCAAGTAAGGAAATGGTCGTTTCCCAGCTCGTGGTCCAGGTCAAGGCGGACGCCGACTTTTACTTTTTCTGCCATTTCCCACGTGCGTGGTGGAAACTACAAACTTCAAGTTCAACGAGTGACTTACTAAGAAAAGAATCCTGTTCACTGCGCCAATGTTTCAGTCAACTCGTCACTCAGTTCACACCAGCCAACACGGTTCAATCCAACAATGGGATTAATCAATACATGCAATAAGAATAAATACAAGGAAAACGGTTCGGGATAATAAAGGGTCTGGCCGCCATTCTCGGGCTCTCTCTCTTGATCTCCTCGACCTTGCGCCAGGATCCGTCAATATCTAGATCTACAATCACTACAACAAGTATCACGTGAGACCTACGTCACTGGTAGACTGCATGGTACTACCCAGCGCTAGGGATAGGGCATGCCAAGTATGTGGCGAATGCGTACAGAAGGAACACAGTGCAGGTAGGTCTAGGATGCTTCTAGCATACTAGTATCAGCAGATTACTGAAAGCGCATCAATGACAGAGACAAAACATACATTACAACAAGAGTCATGCAACTATCAGCCATAGTTCAGTGGGACTACCACAGCAGTCACCCAGTTTCGGTGGAAGTGCGCGAGTTCGATTGGGAATAAAGGAGGAAGGGAGCGTCTCAGCTTCCTCGGACCAAGACCATTCGACTCACCACCCCGAAGACTACAACTGGTGAAACTTTGATTTTAGGGTATACTTCCCCTTTAACGCAGCTCTAATAGGGTGATGGCGTTCCGACGGATGCGGACAACTCTAACTGTGTCCCAAGCAAACAGTGAAATCTCGAACGAGGCACGGAGTTAAAGGGGAAGTATACCCTAAAATCAATGTTTCACCAGTCGTTGTCTTCGGGGTGCTGAGTCGAATGGTCTTGGTCCGAGGAAGCTGAGACGCTCCCTTCCTCCTATATTCCCAATTGAAGTCGCGCACTTCCAACGAAACTGGGTGACTGCGCACTACGAGATGGGGATTTGTATGCAAAAGTCACTAAAAGCGCCGTTTCGTTCTTATAAAAGCACGGATGACCGCTATTGGTCCATATGTTGTAGTCTTTTGGACGCTGAGTCGACTGGTTTTGGTCCGAAAAGGCTGCGATGCAGCGTTCGGCCCTTATTCCCAATCGAACACGGGTGAGTAAGCGGTCACGTGCTCACGCATACACCAGTCACCTGGCCACCGTGCCTGCAGGCTACAACCTTTACAGCGTTCCTGTCACTCGAGTTGAACCTTTGAGTTGAACCTTGGTGTGAAAGCTGAAAGAATGTTACCTAAGGCTATTGCTTCCCTCCTCTGTACTAGAGAAGACGGGTGAACTCAGCTCAGCACCCTCGCTAGGATTCGCTTCAACTGCACTTTCAGATGCACTTGCTTCTTCTGCCAAGAAGTAGGGATTCACTAGCCAGAAAAAGCCTCTTTATAGCTGTGTGGTGTAGACCAGGCTGAATAGTGGTGGTCAATTCTTCAGCCTTGCAAGCTGTAGAATGGTACAATCCCAGCACAAGTTGCAATAGCTTCTGCTGTAGCATTGGTATCATCGCCTCTGGCGATGGTCAAACGTGTGTGTGTGTATGTGTGTGTGTGCGTGCGCATGTGTGTGTGTGTGTTTGTCTGCATGTACGTACGTACATACGTATGTATCTGATAGGTTCGGATAGCGGAAATGACGGCGCAGCAGCGGCAGGTACGTTGGGAACACGAGGACGATGTGGCGGAGTGTCGCGCATGCAGCAAGAAATTCACCACCGGTGTCAAGAAGGTGAGAGTTCAAGAACCGGTCTGATTTGTGTGCGGATGTGTGTGTGTGTGTGGGGGGGGGGGGGGAGGGTTGTGTGTGTGTGTGGGGGGGGGGGGGGGTGTTCTGTCTAGACAAAGCTTTGTAGATTTGACTTTCTGACTATTCGATACCTCAGCCGAGATTGTCATGACGAGCATGGCGAGATAGATGCAGCCCCATGCTGGTCCAGACAATCTCGGCTGAGGTATCGAACAGTGGAGGTGGCACGTCAGCAAGCTGGAGAAGAGAATTCTAAAATGCGTGTGTGTGTGTGTGCGTGCGCGCGCGTGTGTAGGTGTGAGGGGGGGGGGGGGTAGGTATGTGTGGGTGGCTGGACGTCACTGGACGGTTAACAAAACATCACTAATGTCTGCGTTGCCATTGCATCTGTTATGCACATGTTCATGTTTGAACTCGGATGGAGAGCCAAGGATTATTTATAAAAAGGAGTGGAGTGCGCATCCAAGATGTGCTGGAGCTGTTAGCCAGTTAATTGTAGAACGACAGTACCGTCGGTCGGTGTCGTGCAATGTTATCGCATGAGCTGATTGTTCAGTAACTGGATGTGTTGGTGGACAATACTGCAAACGCCCTACATATAACGAAGTGCTAACTCTAACGAGTTCACGAGGAGAAATTTGTCGTTAAAATAGAAATCGTTTATACAGAAATCGATACATATACTGTCCTATTGAGCGTTGAGAACGAGTGAGAATCGTTACCTTTGGTACACGTAAACTAGTCAATTTTGGGAAATCGTTATATATGCGCCTGGTTAGAATAATGGCTTTTACAGTATGGTGTAACTTGTAGTTTCTTTGTCCTTTTTACTTTGTATGTTCATGTTGTTGTATGTTCATGTTGTTGTGTGTTCATGTTGTTGTATGTTGTAGCATCACTGTCGCCAATGTGGCAAGATCTTCTGTGCCGAGTGCTCGTCTAAAAGTGTCCAGACGTCCAGCGGTACTCGACCCCTGCGCGTCTGTTCACATTGCCATGCTCTCATTACCTCCGAGTCACCCGTTCTACTGCTGTCCGAGACGAACAGTGCTGCTGCTGCAGCGTCACAACCTGCTGTTGTTGCTGCTGATGGTGCAGGTGCTGATGGTGATGGTGGTGCGCTGGCGGCGGGAGGGACGAGTACCAGTAGTTCTGCCTCAGTGGTTAGTGATAACGCGTCCAGCTAAAGGTCTGTGTGCGTGTGTGTGCGCACATGCGTGTGTACTCGTATGTGTGCACTTTCGCGCATGTACAAGGGGTTGCATGCGATAAGGCATGGTCTCCATGCCATGGTACTTATACACCCCCCCCCCCCTGCCTTTCTCTCTCTCTCTCTCTCTCTCTCTCTCTCTCTCTCTCTCTCTCTTTACCTCCATTCCAACACCGTTATCCTCGTTTCTACTCGTAAAGCGCTCATGTAACCCCGGACTACTAACCCGCACTCTTCTCTTACCTGTATTGTTTGCATGTGCCAGAGATTTTTATACGCGTATCTTGTTTTTATTATACCAGCACTGCTGTTCTGCGCATGGCAATATCGGACCGTTGCTCGTCCCCACGTGTATATCAAATTTTCCAGAGTATATGTCCTACTGTGTTTTGTGCATTGGGACCATCTGCTGTGCCGCTGCATCAACTGACAAATATGGTTCAACTGCTGTTGCCACATTGTACTGCTACTAACCCGGATTTGGGGCTTTTCAACCAGAGATGTTCCGCTGTAAGTTTTATTTTATTTTAGCTGCATTCTTTCCTGCGCTGACTCCTCCGTCAACTCTTCCGACTGTGCATTGTGAAGGTTTTTTTCTCTCCGATATTCTTTTACCGACCAATGCCACAGTCTCTCTCTCTCTCTCTCTCTCTCTCTCTCTCTCTCTCTCTCTCTCTCTCTCTCTTCTCTTCTCTTTTCTTGCTTGTCTTGCCGAGTTTGGCGAGCTGGTAGTAGCTGGTTTGCTGCCGTACTGCTAAACATGTAGGCTGCGTTATTTACTCGCTCTTTATCAACACACGCGCTCTGTGCTGCCGTGCATGTGCGCAGGCCTGTCGTCCTCTCTCTCTCTCTCTCTCTCTCTCTCTCTCTCTCTCTCTCTCTCTCTCTCTCTCTCTCTCTCCCTCCCTCCCTCCCTCCCTCCCTCCCTCTCTCTCTCTCTCTCTCTCTCTCTCTCTCTCTCTCTCTCTCTCTCTCTTTTCTTGCGTTCACGCACGCATGTGCGCACGCACACGCGCACACACACACACACACACACACACACACACACACACACACACTACTACTATGTACAACTGCCACAAAATGGCCACGTCGCTCCCAGAAGCGGGAGACAACAGCGAGAAAAAAGAAACAAGGAGAATAAATGAGGTGAAAGGGGACCGTTCTACACATAGCTAGTGTTTCTGTCTTCGGTGGCGGGTGAGGTCCTGCGGGCGGGAGAATCGTTCGTTACATAGGCTGCATTGACACACACACACACACACACACACACACACACACACACACACACACACACACACACACACACCACAGTGTGTACACCACCCAAGGAAAATGCCATGCGACATCATCATCATCATCATCATCATCATTTTGGAACAGCCCCTTGTACAGGCAAGCAAAACGCAATACATCAATATTCAATTAGAATGAAAAGAGAGGAAAATGAACACAAAGTGCACTGGGACTCAATATGAAAAGGAACGCAAAGTGCAGTGGAACACAATGGGCATGGGGCCACCAATCAGACAAGACTGCATAGAGAAAATGACCAAAACCCAAACAAACAGGAACAATAATATGGAATAAAAGAACAAACATAAAAAATCCAATACACCACACCACCACATTGCGCTGACGGTGATGGTGATGTGAGTGCAGAGTTTGGATCAGCCAAGAGCGCAATGTGGTGGTGTGGTGTATTTGATTCCATAATGGCGGGGTCGTCGCTACTTCTTCTAAACATAAAAAAACAACAGCAACCGTACACATCAACATACTCTATATTTAAAGGGTATGACATCATCATCATCATCATCATGACTGTATGACCATCCACACATGGATAGAAGCTGGCACTACTGTACAAGTACAAATTTTCGTTTGGAATTAACTTTTAAGTTTGTTCCACACGTAAGTAATAATATAATACTGTTTTTTCTGCACGTTCGGGGTGACAGACCTCGACCAAAAACGAAATTATTTAGTGCGTATTATAAACAAGCCTGCTGCTGGAGTGATCTAACAAAAGATTTCGTGAACGAAAATTTGTACTTTCTACAGTACATTGTAGAGCCCAGGGAGTCGTAAAATACCGGTATTTTACGACTCCCTGGTAGAGCCTGACCGCGCGCGATCATGTGTACGGTGTGTGTGTGCATGCCTATGCTACTCGAGTACATACTACAGACTGTGCTGGCCAAAGAAATCCAACCTCATGAATAGAAATAGCTACTCACACTGTGTACTGGTCTGCGCAGTATATCGCGTTGCTACTTTAGTCATGAGGGTGGATTTCTTTGGCCAGCATTGCGGTATGCGTCGCACACCACACACGCACGTGCATGCACGCCCACCACACAAACACACACACACGCACAAACCATCGCACAAGAACTGCACTGAAGCAGAAACGAGGACTGTTGGCTGACGGACGAGAATAGAAAGGATCAGTTTCTTATGAGACGTGAGAGAACGATCAGATATTTGTTCGTGGACCTGATCGTAGAAACAGTGCTCATAAAATAAGGGTCTTTTCGATAATTTTGCCATTTCCATTTTATAACCGCAATCAATAAAACTAGCTGAACCGACATTTGTGTACTTTATTCATGCAATGTAAAAACGGTGGAGACGATGTGCTTATCAAATTATTGTCTCCTCGCCGTGTGTTGAAATATTTCCATTTTAACTCCGGAGAATCTTGTTACTGGCCTAAGACTAAGAGAGAAAGGAAAATAGGAGCGGGGAGACACAATGCACGTACTCTATGTACATCATCAACAAGGGAAATTTCATAATACGATCCGGATTTGAAGGAGAAAGGGAGAAATCGATTGAAAACGACAGTGAACCGGTACGCGGTGATCAATAGATAAATTAAAATTTATTTTATGTGTCCAGTTTTTTTTTCTGAAAAAAACCTCCTAATTCAAAGACCAAATATGGCGTCCGAGATAGGCTCTAAGCAATGCTGAGAAGGGAACACATGCTATGGATGTCGCATGGCATGAGAATACTAGTAGGGATGTCACGTGGCACGAGAAAGCAAACACCTCCAAGTTATACACAACAGTCGGACCATAGAAAACAACGCAATACAAACAAACAAGACAAGTGCACATGAATTGGTGTATGTACAAGGCTGCATCACGGCTGAACACTGCCAGCTCGATCGACACAGCACTAGTCGTCACGACAACAAAACGCAAATGACATTGGCCCTGGGCAGAAAGCACGCTGTAATTTTCTCAACTGCGGGGAAATTTAGAACGTATGCACAAACGGTACGACCTCGGGATAGGATCGGCCAGGTTACAGACCAATTACTAAACAATACCACACGCATACGTGTGTGTGTTGTGCGTTGTTGTTGTTGGTGGCGGTGTTGTCGTCTGTGTGTGTACGTGTGCGGGGAGGAAATAAACAGGGTGCATGTGCAACACTTCCGGTGTGCATGGTTACGACAGCTAGATGCACCAGCTACTACGGCAACTCGCTAACTGGGTGTACGGAAAACTAGAATTTACAAACATCGCCACTACGCATAGCTGCCATGCACCAAAGAACAACGGGAAACTAACCGTCTGGCATGCAGAGAACACACCAGGAGACAGCAGTGGCTGTAGGGCGGTGAGGTGTAGGAGGAAAGGTTGCCCTGGGTTGCACCATTCACTTATCTTCTTGCAGCAGGTCAACTTCTACTCACCCTCAGTGCAGTCACGACCGGGGAGTAGTAAAATACCGGTATATTTCTACTCCCTGGCCACTGCATATCTTGCTTGAAGCCGATAGTGCCAGGTTGTCGAGATGGCACACACACCCGTACACCCGGCCGGCGTTGGGAGTTCAGTGAAGGCCGTTCTTGCGATCCACGGGCACCGTACGTTGCCGTGTCTCCTGGTCTGCAGCGCCACCACCGCTGACGGCCGGCGGCTGTCCGTTGGGACGTTGCTTGGTGACAACTGGCTCGTCCTCGTTTTCGTCAAGCACGCCGTCTCCCTCGTCGTCGCTGCGGCTGTCCCCACCGACCTGTCCCTCGCGGAACGCCCTCGTCACCACTTGTATGATCATGTACGACCAGAAGATGTGAAGGAAGAAGAGTGTGATGAGCAACGCCAGGAACGCGTACTTGAACGGCCATGGGCCCATTGCCTGCTCGCTCTCCACCTGTACGTTGTACACACACACGTATGCACACACATTTACACGCGCACGCACGCACGCAGACATGCATGGATACACACACAAGTCTCCCTCGATTTAGGCCTGTGGAGAATCCATAAATACAAAATACAAGTGAAACAACACACATGCAGTTGACAGAGAGAGTGTGTGTGGTGTGTGTGGTGTGTGTGTGTGTGTGTGTGTGTGTGTGTGTGTGTGTGTGTTTCGAGGTCCCGGTGTGTACAGCCTGTCAGCGTACTTTCAAGTCTACTGCTGGCCTCAAGCGCCATCGCTGTGGACCCCGCCCGAAGCGCCCTACAGTGACTGATCGCCAGCACTTTGAACATCGTTGCCGAGTCTGTAATCAACGCCAGTTTCGGAGGCGACAAGACCTGGAGCGCCATTGGAAGCACTGCCTACCTCTCCCCTAACCTCTCTGACAGTACCTCCCTTCTGGGAGCGGCGTGGCCATTTCTGGCAGCTGTCAATAGTAGTAGTAGTAGTAGTAGTAGTAGTAGTAGTAGTAGTAGTAGTAGTAGTAGTAGTAGTAGTAGTGTGTGTGTGTGTGTGTGTGTGTGTGTGTGTGTGTGTGTGTGTGTGTGTGTGTGTGTGTGTGTGTGTGTGTGTGTGTGTGTGTGTGAGTGTGTTCATGGACAGGTGGTGGAAAATGTTTCCTCCTTCGTTTATCTGGGTTCTGTCATCACTCCGGATGCGCGTTCTGCAGGAGACGTTTCGAGGCGTTTGTCACTCGCCTCGCGTGCCTTTGGATCGCTCCAGGATGTATTTGCTCATCGTGATCTTTCACTCCATGTGAAGCGCCGATTGTATAACGCCTGTGTGATGACAGTGTTACTGTACGCTTCGGAGTGCTGGTGCCCTTTGCAGGGTGACCTCCGGCGCCTCGATAGCTTCCACCACCAATGCATCCGTAGCATCTTGTGTGTTTTGCGAACACAACAGTGGGAGGAACGCATCACCAATGAGCAGCTCCGAGAGATGTGGGGTGATCCATCGCTATTGGCCTCCCGGCTTCGGAAGCGGAGGCTTGAATGGCTTGGCCATGTGGCCCGCATGGCGGATTTTCGTGTGCCCAAGCAGCTGTTGTTTGGTTTCCTACCGTCGCCTCGGCCTGCGTGTGGTCCCCGTCGTCGCTGGAGGGATGTGATTTCGGCTGATCTTCGGCACATCGGCATTGGACATCTGGCTTGGTATGGGATTGCTCAGGATCGGTCTGCCTGGCGGGTGTTTGCCGTTGGGCCGAGCCTCGGCGGTCCTTCCCATGACCAATCTCTACGGGTGGACTGTCTTATCTGCCACCGTTCGTTTCGTCGGCCAGGTGACAAAGCAAGACACAAGTGTAGCGCAGAGCGAAGTCTCCCCATCCAGGATCAGCGTGGCACTGTGCAGTGTGGTACATGCAGGAGGTGGTTTCACTCTCGTGGTGGCTTGCGTGTACATCATTGTTTGCCCCTGGAACTATCGGAAGCGTCTGCGCCGGCATCACCTATTCCGCTCAACGTCCCAGCTTCTCTCTTGTGTGTGACACGCAATCGGCAATTCAAGTCAGTGTCTGGTTTCAGATGTCACAAGTGCGACCGTGGCCATCGAGCAACCGAGTCTGATAGAGCGCCGTATGGTATTCGCTGTTCTCGCTGCAACCGTCAGTTCCGTCGACAGAGTGACCTGAGTCGTCATCTCCGTTTCTGCTCCTGACAATGACTCTGGCTCCTTTTGGAGTGGTGTGGCCCTTGTGGCAACCAAGCTACAGTAGTAGTAGTAGTGTGTGTGTGTGTGTGTGTGTGTGTGTGTGTGTGTGTGTGTGTATGTGTGCGCACACGTATGTACATGCGAACATGCTTGCAAGCACACAAACGTACGCATAAACAAATACACAAACACACACACACACGCACACGCACACCTTGGTCCTTGGTAACACTGCCATCAAATGGTCACGTGTCCCCTGTGCACGGGGTCGACAGCACTGAGTTCAGCATTGGATCCAGAAACGCCGCTCTACTTCCTGGACAGGAAATTAGCACAGCTATGCAGGTCGAAACCACGGGATGACTTGCAGCAGCGACTGCAGCCGAGACAATGCGCTCTGCAGCAGGGCAGGGCAACCCGCTGTTACCGGACACGCACACACGCACACACACACACGCACGCACGCACGCACGCACACACACACACACACACACAAACACACACAGAAATCCCAAAACTGCTAGATGTACTTACCCAGACGGAGTAGATGAGGAAGCGAGGATAGACATACAGACGGGTGATCCAGAAACTGATGGCAAAGATGACGAAGCACACCTCAACGGCAATCTGCGCCCACGTCCGACCACCGTCACTTCTGGCTTTGACTCGTGTGTACCCTAGAGCCTGTATGAATGCAACACACAGCCATGCAACACACAGCCATGCAACACACAGCCATGCAACACACAGCCATGCAACACACAGCCATGCAACACACAGTCATGCAGAATACGTACATGTACAGCAGCAGACTGGGATTGAGATGCTGCACAACGTGACCCGGCACACCGTGATCGAGTACTTCTTGGAGCAATCACTTTTTACAGATATGTACATGGGAGACTCAGTGGAGGGCGTTCAGGTTGGTTGGAACTCTGCGTTTCATGCCGCTAGGCAATCATCAGACAACTGACATCAAGAGTAGATAAACAAGAGTGTGCAACTCGCGGATGGGTTGGCCGACGGCGGAATTTTTGTTGACGTTATCTTTTCGAAGACGCACGCGCTGCGAGTCTTTTGGAAAGTTTTCCCTCGTGCACTTGGCCAGGCTTTACACTACAAGGTCGGTGCCCAGCACGTGTGCTCCCACACTGCTCTGCGGCAAGATGCGCGTTTCTCTGAGAAAAGGTGACGTCAACAAAAAATTCCGCCGTGGGCGGGGGTATATGCAGATTGTGCAGGAGAGATCCGGAGTTGCACACTCTTGTTGACATGTATAGCAGCAAATGTTGGGATACACAATGGGCAAAATGTTGGGATGACCGTTTGGATGAGCGGAGCATGTATACGCACACTGCCCCGTGCGATGCATTCATTGACTGCTGATTGGCTGCTGGAGTTGGAAGCAACATGGCTGTCTGTTCTTGTCGTACGCTAGCCTGTCAGATCTACACTCACATGACCAGTGTGCTTGCTCAATGCCCTGGTGCATGGTGACTGTGACAGCTACAGTCGCGCTCGGTGAAATCCGACCCAATGTGCAAAACTGGCACCCTGGACAAGTTTCGATTACATCATAGTATTTGCGCATGTGTACGTCCAGCCGCAGTCGTACCACTTCGGGGGCGTCCAGGGCCCTGTAAGTCGACGGTGCCAAATATGCCCCCTCACGGCTGTTTCGCAGTGGCCACTCGTCAAGATGGCGGCAAATCTGCGAGTACAAACATTTCGACTTTGCCTATGTGCGCGGCGGATGCGAATCTCGCACGTGCAGATTCAGGCATGCAAAATCTAGCCTTCTAGCAGTTCTGGAGGTAGCAAGTGTGTAGGCACGACCTTTTCTGAGAGAGACTGTGGCTCTTTTCATCCCAACATTTTACTCGCCACGCTCTCCCTCCCAGCTTGTTGATACGAGTATCTGCTACCGAGTAGAAGTCTCCATTTTCACAGTAGGCCAGGCAAAATCGCAACGTTGAAATACATTGCTCTCTTGGTTATTTGGTCCTTTGAGGTGTTGATGTGGTCGTTGTGTACAACTCAAAGTGACAAACTTGAGACCCCCACGCCACAAAGTTTCGTTTGGCTGTTCAATGAAAGGACGTATGGAAGCAGGGATAAAAACTATAGTGGCTGCCGGCAAAACTCCTAGTAATGTAAGAAACGGGGGTGTGACTTTGGTAATTCCAAGGAGAATGTATGCACAGCCATTCCACAACGAAGACAAAACTACGACCTCAAAAACACTCCGATTTTCAAACAAACGACGCAGAAAAGAAGACGTGGACGCAGTGTTCCCGTGTGGTCTTCAAAACACCTAATTTTACTTCGATAGCGGCTGGTTCAGGGCAAATTCAGGCCCAAATCGACAGCGTTTTACCGTTAAATTTCTCCCAAAACACGAGGAAATGTACGGTAGATCCAAATGCGTACGCATTTGGCGTACGAGGACGACAGGCCAGAGTTCATGCACTGCAAACACCCGTGCCCTGGGTCGGATTTCATCAAGCGCGACTGCAGTACTGTAGCCTGTGGAAGGGGCTGGTGTTGTTGCTGTTTGCACCACGGGGCTGTCGGAACCCGGTCCAGTTGGCATGGTTGTCACCGGACCACCAAAACTGGCCCGGGTCACCCCCTGGGATTCGTCTTAATCCGGGGAGAAAAATTCTGGTTCATGCATACAATCATTCACCCATGGGTTGTTACCGCACCAACCCTGGCTCAGGTCCCCTCCCCCCCCCCCCCCCCCGGATTCGTCTATATCCGGGGAGAAAAATTCTGGGTATCATCGATCATGCATACATGCATCCATGCATGCAGCGTCCCCGGTGTGTGCACCGCTCGCAGAGCGCACTGAGACAGTAACTGGTCAGCAATCGGCAGCGGCAATGACCCTCGGCAGATTGAAGGACACAGGAGACGACAAGGACCTTTAGCCCGCATTCACACTAATTGAAAAAGTACGTTATAGACCATTTTTCAGGCCATTCTCCTTGGCAACCTGGGTAATTTGGCGCGAAAATATAAAAGTTACCTGAAAGGTTTCCGCAACTCTGGTACCCCTGTACAAGGCAACTTTTTTTCTTTCAAGCAGAAGTCGACAGCAGGAAACTGTATATTTCTTGCAGAGTATCTTCCAATACGCTGAAGGATCTGTTCACCGATGATCTAGAGTGTCGGCTCATTGAGCTCTGGCCAGTCTGGGGCGAATACCAGCGGACGAACAGTGGTACCATGCTGAAGCGATCTGTCGCAGAGCGTCAGATCGCATCCAAACTCAATGATTATGTCCAGCACCTCGGCAGCAAGGATGTCGTGTTCACGGCGCCGAGTGTGCACAGCAAGGTGGACAACTTGAAAACAAAGGCCCGAGATCACTACAAGAGATATAGGAAAAAACGGAAACCGATTCTCCTTTGGGCAACCCTGGCCAAGATTCTGCCTACGACTTGCAGACTGCTTTTGCCACATGGATAAATTTCAAGTTGTGGCACAGCACGTTCAAGTGACACACTCGTTATGACTTCTGGTAGGAAGTCAAACGTGTGCAAGAGGCCCTGGACGTGTAGATATGCCAGCCCTGCCCAGATGGAAACGGCGTCCAGGTCGCCTGGCTGATGACGGAGAAGGAGAGGCCTACAAGTACTTCCCGTCCTCAGCCATGGATCTGTACCGGCAGCTGTACTTTGAAGCCATGGATCTGATAATGTCATGCATACGAGATCACTGTAACCAGAAAGGGTACCAGGCGTAAAGTACCTTCGAAGGGCTTTTGTTGAATGCAGCGACTGGAAAGCCATTCGATGATGAGCTGAGTAAAGTTGGTGGGCTCTACAAAGATGATTTTGATGTTCCAAGGTTTCAAGATCAACTGTCCTTGCTGCGAAGTCCGTTCGCTCGCGGTAGTGAAACTCCTATCCTTGAGTCATTGTGCAAGTTCTTCAAGGAACGATCTGAAGCAAAGGAGGTGTTGTCTGAAGTCTGCATGCTCCTGAAGTTGGTGTTGGTCATGGCAGCTACAAATGCTACCAGCGGATTTTGCAAAAACTCCGGGGGGGGAGGAGGAGGAGGAGGAGGAGGAGGAGGAGGAGGAGGAGGAGGAGGAGGAGGAGGAGGAGGAGGAGGAGGAGGAGGAGGAGGAGGAGGATAGCCCCCGGACCCCACTCGTACCGGACCAACTGCGCCCGCCTTTTGGCGGGCCTGGTCCGTCACTTTATCCTGGCTTCTGTGTTTATGTCCTGTCTGACCCAGTGACGGTCACCACTGATTTACGAATACACTGGAGGATGTACCCAGTGTGCTGACAGTGCTCAACACCGCGGACGCCATTTCCTCTGGTGAGGCTCTGAGAAGCCGAAACCGGTCAGGTAAAAAAAATGAATCAGGTGCTTTGTTGTGTCGGGGTTTAGTCCTTCCCAGCACCGAACAACCAGGGCAAGCAGGGCAAGCAGGGGTAAATTGTGTGAGTTCATGCATGAAATTCAGAGTAGTGACAAATTAGTCTTGCTTGCCCGCCTTGTTGTCCTGTGTAGTATAGTGATGTATGCACATGCTGTTCCTGCCTGGCCACCTTTCCTGGCCACCTTTCCTGGCCACTGTCACCTACTTATGGTATGGGCAGTCTATTTTCTGGCAACCCAGCACCATAGCTGTGTGACATGTTTTTTTCATATAAGGAGGCAGACATGCCTGTTTGTTGTACGACTTTAATGAGTTTAAATAAATCCAACCAACCAACCAACATGCCTACCGTGCATTGCATACCTAGCTGTACAGTGGTATTGCTGAAACATGTGAAATCTAACCGGCTTGTGGGTAACGCAGAGTCTGCATTCTGCATACTGTAAGTAAAAATATTGTCGGCGCACATTTATTTTCGGCTACTTTCGGCCTCATCATATTTCATACTGACCAACCACCACAATCTCAATCCCTTGACAAGACATGCAGAATCCCTGGATGGCACGAAAACAAGTGAAAAAGAGCTTTTTCCCGCCAGAAAAACGTTCGACTCTGCAGCTGTGCGTACAGCACAGATCGACCCTGTACTAGGCTGTAGTGCAGTTTGATCAGTCGGCACCCGCCTGTCACTTTGTCAGTGCAGATCTTGCATGGTCAGGTCTTCAAAGTGCTGTGCACAGTTCGAAGTGCGAATGAGCACCGTACATACCTTTGAAAAAAGTTCAAAAAACCGGGACATTCGGGGAGAAACCATGGAGTTTTCAGGAAAATCCTGTATCAGACAAAACTTTGGTTTTTCCGGGAGTTTGCTTGAAATCCCCGGGACCCCGGGAGCAGTGTTGATTTTCCGGGATTTTCCCGGGAAAAACGGGAGGGTTGGCCAGTATGATATTTGGCCGAAATTTTGCTGCAGCCGAAATTTTGTTTTGCAATGTTCAATGTGACAGTGTATACAGGCAGCAGCAGCAGCAGTACAGGCCGACAATGTGTCGACTTATAGTAGTGCATTCACGTGTAATGTTACACCCATGTAGCCACGTTGCTGCTACACGCGTGGAGTTGGATTTTACTTTGCCCCCCCCCCTGTAAGCGCACACACACACACACACACACACGGGTGCATACACACACACACACACACGGGTGCATACACACACACACACACACACACACACACACACACACACACACACGAGCACGTACCTTTGCCAGCTCCAGCCAGGGATCCGCAATGTCGTGCACGAACATGATGAGAGAGCCGATGGCGATGTGCTTGCAGATGAACGAGAACGTGATCAGCGCCAGCGTAGCGATGTGATGGATGAGCATCTCCCAGAAGTCCTTGCGTTTCGTGTCGGTAAAGTGCGACACGGTCAGCGACGTGTAGTACGCAAGTTCCAGCATGTAGTACCAGAACACTCTGGTTGGGATGCCCTCGTGGGGATAGTTGGTCCAGCATTTGTACGTGTCCATGATATACTCCGTGTCCTTCAGCGCCCACACGCCAAACACCAGAAGAGATGCATAGCCCAGGAATCGCCAGCTGGCCTCCTGGAATTTGGGCATTTTGCCACGGTCCGCCGACGCTTTTCTGCGCTTTAGCCAGCGCATAACTCGCTCCTCCGTCCAGCCAAGAGCGGCAGCAGCGCTCTGAACGTGCTCGCGACTCGGCCGTTTGGCGGACTTGTACAACTCCTCGCACGCCCTGTTCGCTGGCGGTGGTGCGGGAGGCGCCGAGCTCACCCCCAGCATCAGTCCAAGCGGCGAGAACAGAATACGATCCAGCAGCGCGCGCACCATCAGTGCGAGCACAGTGAATAGCGCCACGTACTGGAAATGCCAGAACTGCGGCTTCAAACTGCCATTGGACTCATCGTGCAGGCCGCTCCAGGTATAGTTGGGCCCAAGCCACAGTCGCTCATCCAGGGTCAAGACGCCAATAGCTATGTCCACCGCGCTCAAGCCAGCAGCAGCCATGATGCAGGCTAGTGTAACGAAGCGTCGCTTGCAAAGAAACTAAAGCACTTCTTGCAGCGAACAGAACCGTGAGTACTGCACTAGCTGAACTGAAGTTGAACTGCCCTGTACTCTCGATCTCGCCTTCACTCACTCCCACTTTCACTCCTTGGAACATCTACGAATAAGTACGATCGATGTTGGGACTCTTTTTATTTTTTTTGAGCATTTTCACTTGATCTAAAGTAAAGATCTGGCCATCAAGCACCGCGTGCATGCACGGTGTCAGCAGCACGCGACTGCACTGAGTCTGTGCGTGCGTGACTAGACTGGCCTGCTGGTATGGGTGTCGTGTAGATCTACGTCTGGTCGACCGGTCATGGGTTGACAGAAGAACCCCTGTGCGCAAGCTGTGCTTCGCCTAGTGCTAGCATGCTAGCGACGCTTCTGGTGTGCAAATGACCAAAACCCGCTTCCCGCCCTATCTGAGTATGTAGCCAGCTTTTATCCGTGTTTTTTTGACGCGTGACTTGCGCTCAGTTGCTTGTTCCCGCGCTGATTATGCAATGAGCGACTGGTCGTGGACCCATTTTGTGGCACTCGGGTCACGTCAGCACACCCGCGATGAATGCAGAAACCTGTTCAGTGCGTATGCGTGTCTGTATGTCTATCTGTCTGTCAGTGTGTGTGTGCGTGTGTGTGTATGCGCGTATGTGTGTACATGTGCATGGTATGCGACGCCGGGTGCGCAGACACGCGTGCGTGTTTGTGTGTGTGAGCGCGCGCGCGCGCGCGTGTGTGTGTACGCTGTATGGTTCGCGCGGCAAACAGACAAGAGTCCGTGGCGAGGCTGAACGGAACCAAGTGCTCTGAACTGTCAGCAGTCATGTGTGAAGTAAAGAGAGTCATGGCATAAGCATTGTACTTTGTAGCAGCTCGACGCTCACTCCGCTGCTCTCAGCTTCGTCTCTCAGCTTCGTCTCTCAGGTGACGGGTTTCATGGCATGCCGTACTCCAAGTCCAAACAACTTGCCATTGCTGTAGCTTGTTTTGGTTCAACTTCAAGGATCCAGGGCACTACACTGTACACATCACCACTTGCACTGTCACCTAGCGTGATCTGCGCGGATAATACTACTAGTATTCAAGAGTTTTTAGTGCATACCGCGAGGGTATGTGTCGCAAGGGCCTAGGGCGAGGGGACAAGCAGACAGGTCGTGTGTCACGATAGACCATGGCACGGTAGATAACATTGTGTATTATTTTGTGATCACAAGAAGAGTATGACTGGAGACTGTGTTAGTAATACTAATACTAGTACTAGTAGTAGACATGTACAATTTTATTTACAAAGGCAGAAGAGAACAGAGACAACCGGCTAGATCATTGTTGTTTATATGCTGCGTTTTGTGTGTACATATAGCAAAGCTCTGTTCTCTTCTGGCTTTGTGCCTGTGTGGTATTGCTCCATCCGGCTTGTGGTGTTGAGCACTAGACTAGTGCACTCTAGCTAGTCTAGGCAATATCTGGGGGGGGGGGGGGGGGGGGCGCAGTGTCTGCTCCAGCGCCGGGTGAGCCGGGTAATCCACCCGGTTGGGCGGCGCTTGGACCCGGTTGAAAATATAGTACCGGGTCACCTGTGACCCGGTTGGTACTTTACACTTTCGACCTTTGAAAGGACTGACTACATGGCTTGTACATGACATTGTATGTGTCAGATACTTCTTCTAATTCGTAATTTTCTAATTCCCGTATGTCACGGGATTGTCGCCTTGGAGTTGACCAATGACAGATCAAACAGCGCGGACTGGAAAGCGCGATCCTGCCTGCTCAAAGTCAAAGCCGCAGGTGATGCCTGATGGAACTGGATCCACTGCCCGTCGTCAAGTGACGACGGGCAGGAACGGATTCCACTGCCCGTCGTCAAGTGACGACGGACAGGAACGGATTCCACTGCCCGTCGTCAAGTGACGACGGGCAGGAACGGATTCCACTGCCCGTCGTCACTTGACGACGGGCAGTAGCCACTGGACTGACTCTCTACTTCATGGTCTTTCATTGGTTTACTAATATTAGTAATAAAATAACTACAAAAGTCTAAAGCAGAAGAGCGACTGGTTGCAACTACAACTGTCATCATGGCGCTCCAACATTTGATCTGTAACTGGGAGAAAAGAAGCCCCTTTGTTGAACGATATTGGCGATGTGAATGAGCTCCTCCGTAAAGTTGTTATTGAGGAAGAGACTGAAACTTGCGGAGTGACCGAGTCGCTCGCGAAGGAGATCTTGGACGAGCCGGATGAGCCTCAACCAAAGCGCGCAATGCTCAGCAACCTGCAGGACCCGCGCAATTTGCCGAGGTTTCCGATCAAGACGTGGGAAAAATCCGTAGGAACAGAACAGCCAGAATGCCCGAGGGCCGATGCCCATTCGACAATGTCAATGGCACCACGAGAAAAAAAGCACTATGGACTACTACAAAAAAACTGTACCAGAAAACAATCACAAAACACAATGCAGCGCAGGTGTGTCTGTCATGCATCTCTTTATTTGGCTTGGGTGCACACGGGAAACACGTTCCAGTCACTCATACTCGGCCAGTACCGCTGTTCATCCAGCCCTTGCCGCTATCGCGGCGCGGGCTGGATTCCGCGGTACTGCCCTCGTGCTCGTGCAGGAACCTGTACATCTTGTCCTCTCTTTTCTAAATGCGGCTCGCCTTTAACGTACATGTGTACCCGGCTCCGACCCGGTTGAACGCGCCAGGTACACGTGTACCCGGCTGTCCTACAAAATTAATTACAATCCTACAAGCGCTGTAGAGCAGACGTACACTGATTTATGTTGATTGAGAGACTCACCTCCTCACCTCCTCTCCCCTGATTCACTTGTGACTGTGAGGTCTGCATCTGCCATTAGTGTAGTGTGCAAGGTGAAAAGGCATAGTGGTGGCCTGCGGAAGCGAAGGATAGCTTGTGTGTTTCTGAACATTCAAGTGATGCTAACGCGGATCCCGCGAATATTATAATATTTACATGTATGTGTAGTGGAGCGGTGCTGTACTGCTGTACTGTGCTGTACTGTATACAGCTGCATAGGGAATGTGTAGACTGTTGACTGCTTCGCTGTTTACATGACTGTGCATACTTCTCTGCCACTGCTGTTGCTTCTGCCCTCAACTGGCTCAAGTAATAGTTAGTTCTGATCTGGGGATCGGGGATGGGCCGGCCTGGCGAAGTGCCACTCGAGCTCGGCGTGCACGTGTGTGTGTGTGTGTGTGTGTATGTGTGTGGTGTTTGTGTGTGTGTGGTGTGTGTGTGGTGTGGTGTGGTGTGTGTGTGTATGTGCATAAAAAAAATGAAAAATGAAAATAGGGATGGCCAGAAAAAGTCACTTCAATCAGCTGTGTGGTGTATACCAGGCTAAAATAATTAGTGGCGGTCATCAGCCTTGCAAGCTGTTGAATGGTGTAATAATCTGATGGTTCTGTGGTATTCAGTAAAAAACCCTAGCACAAGTTGCTGTTCGCTATCATGGGTTCCGCGATGGGCAGGTCTGAGGTCTGAGGTGTACAGTGCGCATAGCTGTCCGCTATCATTGCTTCCGCGATGGGCAGGTCTGAGGTTTGAGGTATGCGTGCGTATGTGTGTGTGGTATCTAGTGGATTTGCATATTTCCGTGTTTCTCTTGCCACGGGCGTGTACCGGTACATGATGTGTGTAGATGAGTCTCGCGCGTGTATGTGTGTGCGTGTCTGTTAGCACGTCTCTGGTTCTGTATGTGTATGTGAATGTACGCGACTCTGGCGCCATGCGTGCGGATGGTACCGTACACCCTGCATACAGCCGGCGCAGGTGTCAAGCGGTTGCAGACAAACACTTCACACACTCAGTCAAGGAACTACCCGCGCTCTTGACCTTTTCGAGGCGCTTTTGTCTTTAGTCCGTGCGGCCACTAGAAGGCCAGTATGGCACTATGGGGCCATCAAGCCTGCACCGTTATCCACATCATGTGACAAGCTATCAAGAGGGCTGCGTCCCACACGCCTGTGTGTGGATTCACAGGAAGTGTGAGTTTCGAAGTCCGAAGAAAAAATTAATGTTGAACGGTCTCTGCATGCTGGGATGACAGCTAGATACTGGACCATTGCTCAGTGACAGTGGTTAGAGCATTGCTGGCCTCAAGCAAGCGAAGGTCTGGGGCCTGGTACGAGTCCTGGGGGTGACAGTCAATTTTGTCTTCAGACTTTTCCCGTTTCCCTCAAACCAACTTAGTAGCAGTGGCGAGGCTTCCTGCATGCAGCTTCATTCATAGGAAAAAAAAGGTTTCAGAGCAGACTCTCTCTTCCCATTTACTCTGCAAAACTCGAACTCATTTCTCAATCAATGTTTTACCCTCAAACCAATAAGTAAAGGTACACCAGTAAACTGTAGTATTTACTCTTGATATCATCATGGAATCATGGCTAGCCTACCGGTCATCATGATTATTATTCCTAACACTGCATCGCTTCAGTACAGTATCCATGAACAGAGTCCAGTCTAGTCTCGCTCCTCACGCCCTTTTGCTGTTGTATACTTTATTTATAGTGGAAATCAAAACAGGCATAATGCCTAATATTAGTAATAACAAAGGCGCTGACGCCTGTTGGGAATTCCCTAGTAAAAGAAGAATAAAATTATTATAAGAAATAAAATAACAATGGACCTACTGTGAATAAAATTTTAACCTGTGGTAAAGTAGAGATAGGAAACGGGAAGAAAGAAAACGGAAGGTAACGGTTGGTTGTAACGAACAGATATCAATCCAGTGGGCTATGGAAAACCTACGTGGCTGATAATAATATACTGTCGTGTGCTGTGTGGCTCGGCTACGTACCCGTTGGCTGTCCGTGTACCACTCAGACTGTTATGTAGTGTGTTAGCAAACAAGACAGAGACATCATCCTACATTCGCGGAAGTCACTATTATTCAGTGGAGACAATACTTGGATGAAGAAGAACGGAAGGGGACTATTCGACGTCACGATGGGATGCTTCGACGGTGCCGAAGTATGCGAGCTAGTTGGGACGTATGCACTGTCTAAGATTGCACACGAAATCAACAGCAGTGACGTCGGACTGTACCGCGATGACGGCCTAGCAGTGCTACGAGACGTGACAGGCAGCGAAGC